ATAGAGTTTCTTATGTAAATAATACTTAACCAAAATTCATTTAAAATTTAAACTCTATAATTTAATTAGCTTCATTCGCTGTTTATCATTACCGTTATTCAGATCGCTGTAACAAAAGATATCAATAATTAGGTTCAGTTAAAGCGATCTCCGAAAAAATATAGAATTATAATCGAATAATCGGAATTAATCAAAATTGTTACATTTCTCGCAACACCTATCAATTTCTCACTATTTTTTCTGTATGAAAGGTAATCCTTAAATTAAGGGAACTTGTCGTAAAACACCCTGTACAAGAAACGTTTCAAATATTTCAGAAATATTTATCGAAGGTTTAACAATATGAGAGTGAAATCTCAATTTGTTATGAAGTCGATCGTTATCGTCGAGTTGAGTAGTGCCATACGTTATATATCGAATTATTACATTATATTGAATCGTTGAATCTTGATGAATCTAACGTCCACACGTCGACGAATCGGAACGATTCGGCTGGTTGTTTCGAAGCGTACGGAAACGACGTCGCAACCCGGTACATCTAGAATGGTTGTGAATCCTTATTCGGCCTTACTCAAGGCGTCCATCGAGTTGGAAATACGCCTTTCCCATGGGAAAGGGATTTCCAACGGAGCCTGCGTGTCGGCACTCATTCCCCACTCGAAGCTTGCTAATCGATTTCCGTTAGCGCGCGCGTAATCGATCGATCGAGCGCAACCTTTTGAGCGTTACGCTTCTCTTGCGCCTTTTGTCACGTGGAAAACCTTTTTGCTCAAGACGCTCGACTCACGGGACGATGAGGTATAATCGAATATTTGATACGAACCTAGGAAGAACGACGGAATATTTATTAAACGAAATTTCAAGCCGAGCTCTCACGTAATTTAGCCTGACGCTTCGCCGAATAATCGAATAGAAAAGAATATCAATGTTGGACTTTCGAATGTTAATACCTGTTGTAATTAGGATAGGCTCACGTTACTTCACTTAACTTTAAACGTCATTATGGTGGTCATTTGAAATTGATTATTGTCTTTTCAATAAAATGCATTTAAGTGATCGTTAACGTTCGGTAGTTGTTTCAATGAGAATATTTGTCTTAATGTTTATTCTATCAAAGCTGTCATCATCACTAACGCATCCAAATATGGAATTAAAGGTGTTACGATGTTATATTAAATATTATAGTGCATACAAGAAACAAATTGTCATATCTTTTGTGACTAAATAACAAAATTGTTTATTTTGCACTATGTTATTACACTTATAGCTTTTCATGTGTAATCTCGAAATGTTAATTGTGAAAGTTGATTTCATACTTTGGTTATTCGTACAAGTAAACTCAGAATGAGACGATCTGTAATGTGAGCCTATTAATTAGCTCAACAAAGAAAGGACAAGAATTAACGGAATCCATTGTTCGACCGAAGCGATCATTCCTAAATCACGAAACAGTTCAACGCGAGTTCTACGCAAACATTGCGCCATTCTGAGAAGCAGAAAAAAAACCGATGGAGGCCTGGTCCGTCTGCACGCACTTCCATATCTCTCATATCAAATCGGTTTAGTGCCAATTCGTTAGTCGATTAGAGCCTCGCGAGCGATCATCGAGTTCAACGTATGTATGTATTTTCGAATCATCGGTCGCGGGAGAAGGCGTCGTCGACGCGATTAGATAGATCCGTTACGAAATTTTAGGGAACTACCGAGGAAAGAAACTCGTCGTCGATCGTAGGGGATCGATTGTTCGATCCGTGGGAACGCGATAAACGCTAGAATGTGATTGAATTTGATCGTCGCACCAATGAGATCCGAAAAACGAATTAAAACTTGCGTACGGTCAAACGTGATTAGAAAGCGGCGATTAATATAAAGTCTATTTCTATCAATACCTATGTATGATAACGCTCTATCGCATGTTACTCGATTAATCTAACGGTACCTGCACCTATTATAGATAAGCTCTCCGCTGTTTCGATATCCCTTTCTCGATCTCATCCCCATTCTCCACTCATTTACCTTACATCGACAACTGGAAAATTCCACTAGCCGTTTCTCATTCGACCACTCTTTGTCCTTCTTCTCTACTCTATCTTGCCTCTTTTCATTTTCTAGATAGACGAATGATTTAAAAATAAAAGACACTGTTCGAGAAAGCTTCCCAAGAGAAAAAAAACAGATGAATAAGAAAACTCTTTGTCCTCAAATTTTAAATATCGTCGAAGGAAACGTATGTCCGTCGCTTCGTGCGTATTATTAAGTCTTGAATACTGTACATAAACGTATTATATATTAACGTACTCGTTCTGCGATACTAACGGACTATTGTAAATAAAAACATTATACGGTTTCGTTTGAAATATATAGAAACACGTTTTCTGTTAGATGTGTCGTACCTTTTCCTGTATGAACCGATTTATTGGAATGGGTTTGATTAATTTCTATACATTTTGTAAAATTAATTATTGTATTTTATTTTATTTTGTCTTATTTTATTATGTTTTATTCATTATATTCTAAAATTTATTATTGTAAACGACAGAATTATGCTCCTTTATAGCTCGTTTTTTATTCTATCTTTGCGAGTAGAAAACAAACAGCGAATAATTAAAAAGTTTGAAGAAGTATCGAATTCTGAATATTTATTTTGTGAGAGAACTGTGAATTTTGGAAAATTCGTTTTTTTGAAGATGAGGATTTAGTGGTCAATGAAACATTTGTTTACAAATTGTCAAGTTATTTAAAAAATTTGTCAATACATTTCGCGAATGGGCAAAATGACTTTTAACGAACAAGAGACTCTTCTGCTAATGTGCCCCGAGAGATGTCGCGTGTTTATCTCTCTTGTACATACTGTGCAACTAAAATGCTGAAACTGTCGGCAATCTGTACACGCACCTGTAGAGCTTTTACGAGCTTTCGAAATCAATGTGTTAACGCAGTGTAATCCCAAATAAACTAGAAATTCTGCCCTTTTAACAGCGATAACCCAAGGAACAAGTGATCAATTCCAACGGTTTATCGAGTTTCCAATTAGGATACTATTCACTGATAATTTTTGTTCGTATTGATCTATCAGTATCCGTTCATTCATAGAACTCTTTTGTTCTACGATATGATAAATTATAATTCTTAAATATCATTTGTAATCATAACGAGTTTGAAAACATTAGACTCTCATTGAGCAGAATCTGAAATACCTATAAAAATTATGGATGCTTTATAATTTTAAATTATCTACAAATATAGACTTTTCAAATTTAATAATAAATTGTTTAATTACGTTTAGACTTGTTTAATAATATTTAGACACAGAAAAAGTATGTTTATAAATATTGAAATTGTAACAAAATACAATATTATCTTGAAAATTATTGCAATAAGGGGCATTACATAATACGTAATTAACGCTAGCACATCTCGTAGGTAATAAGTTTTACGTAATGGTGGCATCTGCAAATATGCAAAACAAGAATGGCGAACTGCAATGAAGTCTACTTATATAATGGCAAAAGTGACACAATGTTTGCTCGACAAGGGTTTAAAACTCTATATTTATCTTCGAAACTAGTAGATTATGTCACAAGAGAGTTATCGTACATTAAGCCCGCGGCAGTAAAATGCTTCAGTTAGCGTGTATTGCAGCCGCATACAGTATTATGCTAAACTCTTACTCTGCATAACATGACTTTCACAATGGTATGGAAAATTGTACGTCCACAAATATATATTCTATGCAATCACTAACAACATCACAAAAACACCTAAAATGTGATATTCCTGGAGTCAAGATAATATTTCACAGAGATGAGATTTTGAATAGGCAAATCAAAAGTATCATTCATTTCGACATATTCGACAGTATAATGTTTTCTAATATTCGTTTCAAGCATTCTTTTCATGCCGAGAATTCAAGCTTCTTTGAATTCCTCATCGAGTAATTAGATCGATAAAATAATAAAGATACCCTTTTTTAAAAAAGTACGCCATTATCTCATTAAAAAGTGTGCAGCATGTGCGAAAGTAGAGCAACTCATCCATTTCGAACAAAAGAAAAAATTATTTGTAACTTTGAAAAAACGAATCTTTCAATACCTTTCGTTAGGACTCTTTTCCATTATGTGAGTATCATCTTTAAAATCCGAACCCCTTTCCTAATTACCCTTTAGACCCTAGTATTCTGTATTACTTTTTCTCCTATTAATTATAAATATCTCAAGCCTTCAAATATTTTTAAACAACAGTATTCTTAACACTTGACCAACCGAATGTGGAGACCTCCCACTTTTATTTAATAACTCTTAACCTAGAGAAACTTGCAATTCATTAATACCTTTATCCCTTTGATAAAACACAATTTTCAACGAGACCTGTTGAACGAGTTCAATTAAAATTAACGAAAAAAATTCTAATTGTAGTTCTCCTTTCAGGCGATTGTCTAAATGTTAAATTCAAGTTCACCCAACATTTCTCGAACCACACGAATGGTATCAGCCTAAACAATCAGATGAAGCCCCCCGGGATCATTAAAGCTACCAGACAGCTCAAAATGCCCTATTCCTAATTTCTTTTACAATCATTGAGAGGTTACAAGCGTTTTGCAGAGAAATTACCAAATAACCTGATTTCGCAACGGACGAACTAACATATAATTCACTGAAAATCTCCATAAATGTACTTTTGTAACATCCCCAGAAAGACAGAGGCAAGTCAATTAGACTGCTCGGCAGTTCTAGCGTTAATCAGCTTTCGACAGCAAAGTCGTGTTCGCTGGCTAGCTAGCAAACAGTTGTAGACGGACTACAGGCAACAGAGCGGTCCGAAGTGGTTCCGCCAGCTGGTTTTTACATAGGATCACCGAGTCGACCGGCAGCTGCCCATAAACGTCACGGTTCTTCAGAGCGCAAGCCCGGCATGGGGGTGCTTGCGAGCCATATACTCGACGACCAGCCCTGTTTTCAAACAGTCGTCGGGTTTGCGTGGGTGCTTCGCGGCCGTTCGACGCCGTGAAACCAGGAAACTCGATGTCAACGAACCACGAAAAGATATGACACCGAGAAACATGGATGGAAATGAAACCGCGTACACAGTGAACATCCGTTAATTAATTCGCCTAAGGAGAGATCGTGTGACAATAGATACAACTGGAGAAATCGACAGTGATCGGTGGTGAACATTGACGATAGTATCCAATTTTGATCTGTCAATGATAGAAAATTAATTTCCTCTTGTCGCGAAGGCATCGCCGTGATAGTTTGATATTGTTGTTCGGAGTGGCCGCCCGGTATTTTAATTACCGTTTCATTCGAATTGATCGCGCTCGATGCCGACGAACAGTTCGCTCGCGAGTTTCGATGTTCCAGCGAGTTGAAGGTTTGTTGACGATACCGGCGAGTTTGACCGAGTTCTCGGAAGGAAAGAGTGCGGTGTTCGACCAGTTCCCTTCGATCGAAGATACACCAGAGACATTTAGCGGAACCGTTAATAGTGGCGAAGGTAAAAGTCGTCGATCGTATCGCGGACACGTTCAGCGTTCGCAAGTGTTTGCGTCGCGTTCTCTGGAGGACGCGTTCTATGCGCCCGGAACGTTCCGAGATCGTCGATCCGGCGAATTGAAAATTACGATCTCACGTGCGATAGTAACTCTAATTTCGTTTTTGTCAATCAAGTTTTTGTTAATCAAGTTTTTTATTTGGAAAGGAACGATTTTGGTAATTCGGCTGAAGATTTTGTGAAATTTTACTCCACATTAATGTGTATTTTATAATGAATTCAGTTTAATCCGAAGTTAGTAAAATACAGATTTTATACACTTTCTGTTTTTGTGATTTAATTATTTATGTTGAAGAGGATAAGTGTAATTTTTAATTCTTTTAAGCTTCAGTATTTTATTTCCTTTATCATTAATTTATTTTTTCAAAGATAGAAAGTATTTATTGTCAGATGAAGATTGGTGTTATTTTGTAAATCAAAGATTTATTAAATTTGTAATTAATCTTTTATAGAAACATTATGAAAACTTATCACTTTTAAACTTTATTCTTGAAAATATCTCTTAGTTCAACATATAATGCGTTTGCATGCGAATAATTTTATTTAGTCAGTATAATACTCAGTATAATAACTTTTCATAATTGTTTCATGATCCGTATATTTTTCTAAAAAGATATTTTTATCATAGTATCAATTTCATTAGTAAAAACAGTTAGACACAAAATAGGAATGTTCAATATTCCAGATGAATGAACTTTCTTCGTTATCTACTTACACGCAATCCATTACAAAACATTCAATATGGCCGTAAAATAAATGTCACAGTACCCTATTGTACTCTGACATAGTATACCCTCGCATAGACATCGATTCGTTCAATGACAATAACCTTTGTATTCTGTTCACGCAAATTACATTAAGAATAAAAACCAAATTAACGAAATTTAATCATTTATGATCAGACAGAAACATATAAAAAGTGATTCGAAACAATTGTATTAAACACTTCGATGGAAAAATACAAAGAAAGTTCGAATTTCGAGTACACATTTTGGGCCAGACTGATCCGAACAATGAGCAAGAGTTGAGTACTTCCGGTACACGAGTCAAACACCGTCGGAACGCCTCGACGAGCAACACTTTGCGTGAACGTTCAGGAAACATTCAAGAAGGCTCTTAGCGGCCATGCGTTTAGTAGAGTGTGAAAGTTTTCCCGAATCGATAGGTATTATTCTCGAATGGCCGTTAAGCGATCGTCCCTTACGCCGTAATGGGATTACGAGTATCTAATTGCACGTCATCCGGAGGAGTGCACCTGTTTACACTAGCACAGCGCCTAATGAAGTTAAAACCCGGTAATTGCCTTAAGTGCATTAAGGCTGACACGCGAATAACACGAGGAAAAAAATCGCTGATGGGACTGACATGGGATGACAACCGGGGAACCCGGACTAAGATCTTCTGTGATAAAGAAAAAATAAAGGGATCGATAATTCTCAATAATTAATTTAGAAAATCGGTTGTCTGTAGGTCCAATCGTAGTCTTCTATTTAGAGCAAATAAGATCAGCCAATTTATAAAAATAATGTACTTCTTTTATACGGTAACGATCAATAAATTTCTGTTTATAAAAATATAGAATTCTTAAGTTGGTAAATTTATTTTTAAGAATGATTCAGATTGATGTTTTAGTTATTAGAAACATAAATACGGAGACGAGGGATAGAATATTAAAAAATAATTTATTATTTACAAATTCAAATATATAAAAAATTATTTGAATTTCCAAGATTTCTTGAAATTTATATTGTCTATTGAAGGCTGTTTTCCTTGAGGAAATAAAAATGTTTAGTCAATGTAGATATTACTTTCTTTCGTCAAACTTCAGCCAGACCATGTTTTATCCTCTTGAAACTTTAAATTTACATTCGAACAATTTCTTAGGTAAATGTCATTCAACATCTTACGTTAAATCAATGCAGAAGAAAACTATGTCTTTATTCCCTTTCACGGAGGAAATGGTATCGATCACACAGTGTTGGATCTGAGTCCGAACCCTGACCTTTCTGCTTCTAGGAGCACTTTAACCCTGTAAGGCAAGGTATAGATAAATTCCTCATCTCCGCACTCGATGTACTTCAACTAGAAAGCGTCTTCGCTAGGTAACTTCGATACGTACTCATAAATATTAATCGACATAGTACCTAACACTCCTTTCATCGAGTTTAATTAGAATCTGTAGGAACGAATAATTTGTTGTATATACTTATGAAACATTATATAATATTTGTTTTCTTTATATTTGCAATAAGTGTGTACAAGATTCAAATCATAAGCGTTGACAAAAATATCAATCATAAATATAACTTATGTTTACTAGATTTTAGTTTGAATTCTCACCCTCGCGATAAATCGTAAAAATTCATGACTGAATCAATTATAATTCTAAAAAATTCAAATCTACTATAATTCCCAATACGTGTTTCACAGACTTATAATTCACACAATTACACCTTTGCATTTCATTTTTGAATGTTTAAGCTAAATTACAAACATCAGAATTCATATAAAGATTTAGAATCTGCTAACAAATATTACTCTCTATTTTTCAACTTTCTATTCTAAATACGAGTATATTCGTGTATACGTACTGTAACATTTCGATCCTGTTTGCGCTGTACCTGATCGTATCACTGCAGAACAACCTTATATTTCTATTGACATTTACCCAGCGAGGTGACGACATTTGACTTGATCACTACGCGGTACTGAATCGATAATTTCTAAAATCTCTTATCTTTCGACCAGCTCGAGATTCACCGAAACAGTGACTCAGACTCTCTGAAAAGCCAGGGGTCACACTATGTGCATGTGGTTACGATTTTTAATCGAAGGACTGTGTGTAAGGCTACTTAGCCTGCGGGAGAAAGAGAAAGACAAAGAGGGTTGCTTCTGAGGAAGTCACTGAATCAATACACAAGTTTCCGACGATTCTACTCGGTTGGTGGGAAAGTAATGTCTGTTTTGCGAAAGCTTGAGAGAAGTTACTACAGTATAGATATCTTGTTTAACAAATTGTACAATGTTCACTATTTTCTACAATTATATCCTACTGTTTTGACAACTTTTTATTCTCTAATTTAATATAAATGAAAAACTTGCTTATCTTACCTCGACCGAAAGCCGACATTACTTTCCCAGTAACTCAATACTAACACGCAGGGGTTACAAGCCTGGAACTTTCCCTTTTTGATGGTCGATTCCTAGTATCTTCACTTAAATTTATTCTTAGTATCAAAGAAAATTGGACGATCGATAGTGGTTTTCACGTGTTAAGTATCAGATTGAAATAACTAGTGATGGCAGTGGTGAACAGAATAAATATTCTTATGAATAATAAATAATATTGATTACAAATCGATAGATTTCTTTTTGATTTGAAGTGTGGTGTACTTTACTTTCAAATGCTGTTAACAATAGAAAAAGCAATTATTAATAATATTATAGTCAATACTATCCTTGTTGCGTTTGTAAGAGAGTGATAAATATAATGTAAGAGTATAAATATTATATGATAACGTTACAATATAAATATTTTATAACAACATTACCATGCTGCTAGCTTAAAAATAAATATTCTAAAAACCACGTTACACTTTCAACTAAAATTAAAGTAAAATTCGCATACAACTTTTTGTAGTCTAGCCGCTATCACTTTATCAAGGACAAACTTTTATGCCCTTAGGACGGCACTTATGAACTTTGATAATAATATGAATAAGTTTGGTGATTCGTTATGGAAAGTAAATAATCTTGTGTGTGTACACCCACGTCATCGCGTACGATTTTTGTGGTACGCGGATCCCCCGAATCGATGAAGTGTAAAGGTTCGTCCGTGAGAGAAATATTTCTGCCTAGCAGGGTGGCCAGCGAGACACCTGTTGTTACGCGTACGTCACCCTACAAAATTCAGCCCTCCTGTTGGTTTCTCGGAAATAAATTCCTTAACACGAACTACAGGATTGAATTGTTTTCCTGTTAAAAAATCTCGTTTCTTCCAAGGGAAACGCACAAATGCGTAAATCGTGTCAAATGAAACAGCACTTTATATTTAAATTTCTTTATTGACCAACGAGTGCCTGAGAGTGATTTTTAAACTGTTTATCACTTCTTGTTTTCAGAGAATTGATGTTGAAACGTAATTTTAAATCTGTCAAATTATATCCGTACAAATTTGCTGAAACATTTTTAATGACTTCATTCTTATTAATTTTTCTATAAATTTAGTTCTCTAAGAAATCAAACAGTACGAAATTATATATGTATACTAAATGAAAAATCTATATAATAGAAAAACTTTCGTAAATACCACCCTTGATTTGCACAATTTTCCAAAACACCTCGATGTATTTTAAAAATGAAAATTTGTTGCTTTAACATTTAGCAGGAAAGTTCTAAAATTATTGGCGACTTGCTCGAGTTTATCAAAAAATTGTCTTTCCATATAACTGCTCGTGAAACTTTCCACATAAACTCTGTACGCTGTGCTCTTTAAAGCTCTAATTAAATCGAAATGATTTCAGAGTATACTTTGCTGGGAACGGTTGCTATATCCGCAAACTTTGAAGAGGACACTATCCGAATGAGAAGAGACTGATCCTGTTCAGGAATTAGTGTGGAAGGGCGCGTCAGGGAAAAAGAAGGGTAACAGGACCGATCTCCGTTGGATATAGCCGCGATGGGACGGAAGCACAAGCGTCGACTGATACCGGAACAGGATCGCAGAATATGCGGCAGCATCTGCTTCTGTCAGTTCACTATTGTCATCAGCTGCGTCGCATTGGTTTATCTAAGCGTGGCAATCTACATGCCATCCCACAGGTTAACGACAACCCTGTATCGATTAATTTGACCAAGGCCGATAGTAATTAAGTTACGACTCGTCCGGCCTTAATTTCCTCGGAAATCTATAACTAACCACCGCCTTTCCACGCCAGCTAGCTAATTCATGTCGCTTTCTAATCTAATCTAATGCTGTCCGCCGAAGATTATTCTTTAGGCGTGATTTCTGTTGAACAAGCAACATCATCCTTGACATATTTCATGAAAATCGATGTTGATTATAACGTAATCGTTACTTAATGGAAAGGTCAGTGATACTTGGAAGGCATTGAAAGAGATAAATGGTAAAATCTATCTATGTGCTTCAATAGTTTTTGCTGTTTTAATATTTTTTATATGTCGTTTAATGTAGATTTAAATATTCTCTAGTATTTTTGGGAAGGTAACTTGCAAATACATATAGAGGTTATTTGAAGTAAATTAAATGTTATAACAGATGTATGCAAATTTTATCATACACTTCAAGATTAAAAAATGTATTAAAAGTAAAATTATTTTGCATACTTTGTATTTGATAATTACATAAGTTTTCTATTAATCATAAATAGGAATAATTGTGGAGAGAAATTGAAAATTACTATCATAAATATATTTTGAATAAGAAATATAACGATGGTTTTAACACATATATATGTATAGTATTAGTGACTCGTGGTTGAACGCAGTTAGATATATAACTCCATCACGCGAAATTCAAATTCCAGTCAACGAAATATTAATGAAGTCGTCGAAATTCCAGAGCCTTTCACGCAGGGATCGAGCCGGATCCAGTTATGTGCCAAACCATTGATACCACCTTAGCTAATAATTGTGGCTGGGCGAGTTGCGGGGAGTGGTGCTTAACGAGAACCACCGGATTCTGCCCCCAGATTCACGCAACAGTGAGGAGGAACGGCACAGAAATCATTTTTCAGAATTGCACGAATTTCAATAGCATATCGTGCCCTCAGGTATGTGCTGACATGAAATTTTCGTTCCCTTTTTCCTGAACCAAAAATATTTGAATATTATACAATACTAAATATTTAAATACCTCTTAATATTTGTATATGTTGATTTAATAAAATAATCCTATTTAATGGATAAAAATCAATGAATTTATTTGACAAAGGTATAAAAGTTGTACAATAACAGATGAATATTTATATATTCTTAATCATACTCTAATAATCATTCAAATTATTAGAAATATGTAAACGAAAGTGAAAATAAATTGTGTTAAACGTATTCTAATAAATTCTGTAACAACAAAGATTACGCGAGTTAACAAACATCCGTTTCAATTAATGTAGCAATACTCACAGAGTATGACTTATATGCGCAATATTTATAGCGATGCAAAAAATATTTCCAGCACAGCATGATAAATAAAACGACTTTTGAATTTTTCATGATATCGATTCCACCGTCATCGAGCGTACGATATTTTTTTTAACTCCTCGCGGGAATGTAACGCCCCCGTTGCAGGCAAATAGGTTTCCGGCAAGCCATGTGCCGTTTACTCCCATCGGAGGAGGCAGAATAAATTGATCGGAACAGCGTTAAAACTATGAATCTCGCGGGAACGTGCATAAAAATAAGTTTCGTGGATCATCGGAAGAACATGTAAAATGAGAGACGCGAAGGAACCCACCGTCGACAACAATTTTCCATTAGCACCGGATGGAATGTATGCTTCTCGTTCGTCCGTCGAAACGACATTCGATCCTATCCGGCAAACAATAAAACTTTCTTCCAACCACTGGATCCCTTCGTTACGTAACTGCGAGAGACTTTAAATGCAACGTTACCCTCGGATATTTGGTTTCGCCGCGCTGATACGCTTTCAATTACAGAATCCTAATTTACGACTTGGGGATATTATTCGTTACAAGTCACGTAATAAATAGTTATTCCTCGATCGCAATAATATTTTAATTAACCCTTCTTTCGTTGACTAATATTTTCTTAACTTCTATATTGTAATTCTAATATGAATCACAATTATTTAGTTGCTTTCTATTGCACAATCTTCTCATTAATGAACCACTTATAATTTAGCACGTACATTTTAACTTTGCAACATTGTTATTTCTTAACCAAAAGAAAATTTATAAAATCGTATCTCAATAATTCCTATCTTATCTTTTTTCTATAATTGTATCTACGTAGTAACATAAAACACAATTTAAAATTTGACACCCTCGTTAATGTTTCTCCCATTGAAAAATCTGAATTCTCTAACCAAACGCGCCCTGTTATTCTTCATCTTATTTGGTATCATGATTCTTACGTTACACTATTATCTAGTTTATTACGCTATTGAACGTTTTCATTCGACGGCAGGTGTTTGACAAATTAAAATTATTTTCAAGTAATTCAGAAGCTCTAGTTATCGGTTAACGAAATTGCGCTCAAGCAACGTGTGCGTCATACCTAATCATCGGCGCAATCAATCGGTCTTTCCTCTCGGAATTTTATTCCCCCGTCAACTCGAAACTCGTTTTCCCGGTAGCCGAGCGTACTTCACCCTTATTGTTCGTCTGGTCAGGCATGCCGCACCTGGAAAAGTAATTCGTCGGGCGTGCGCACGTCAACGGTCCCGCGAAACCATCGTTTCCCCGAGTTCCTGTGTTTCCTCGGTGGGAATAGGTCGATCAACCGTTCCGCTCAAAGGCGAGCCGAGCTGCGTGTTTAATTAGCCCCGGATCGCTCGGCGAAGGTTGCTTTACGCCGTTAACCGAGGGAAATCCAGTTACAGGGAAAAAGGAGCCGATGACGAAGAGGGAAAGAGAATAAAATGAGCGAGCCGCGCGTTGTTCGTTTTTCATCGGCACGCTCCGGCATTTTGCAGACTCTCTCTTTCTCTCTTCTACGTTAATGTACCCGCCGGATGTAAATGTGCCAGTAAAAGAGTTACTGCACGCGGTTCTGATCCCTTCCGCGTTGAGTGCTTCCTGAAACGAACCCCCGGCCGCGCATACGGAAAGAGAAATGAGTAGCTTTTATTAGATTATGTCATCAGCGGATTGCTGATCTTGTGCAGTTACAGAATGTGTACAAATCTTGTAACTTGTAAGATACAGATTTTGATGTAATTCAATGGGGTTTTACTTTGGTTTTGATGTAAAAGTAAAGGCGAAGGATGTAGAATTTTAATTGGTTTCTGGTCTTTTCTGGCAGTTTCTCTGTGAACATATTTAAATATGTTTGGATAAATTTTGCTTTTATCGTTAGTTTGTAATTTAACTTAGAGAATCCTCTTGAAATATAACTATTTCATGATGCTTCTTTATCTCCTTCGTTTGTAAGATTGTATCCGATGCATTAATTGTAATTATAGATTTAGGATGAATTTTTTATAAGAGAAAAGTGGAATTTCAAGTACAAAGAAACGAACGTTTGAAACAGTTATTACTCTTTAGTTTCAATCGAAATTTAAACGTCGCTGACGGTGACAATAATTGAGAAACCTATAGGGAGGATTTTCTCGTTAACTCGATGGTTCTTAGTTTCAAACTCAGCGACACTAAATTTTTACTTCACATTGAATATCTGAAAATGCGGTCTCGTATAAGAAGAAAAGAACTGACTAACAGTACACAATATTTAGCATGAACACGATGGAATTAGAAAAAGATTATATTTGGAAAAAAGTCAGTATAGTTACTTGCTGCAACTCAACACGAGGACATTATTGCCAAAGAGCTGTAGTTAACTATTCTACCCATCACGGAATGTAATTACTTAGAGTTCTCGATTAGGCACGTTGCGAACGTGTCATGTAGATGTTCGATGAAAGTTTTCTTAAATAAAACCAAGTTCCTGTGCACGTGGACCGTAAGTGGTATTACGGAGTTTTGCTAATGTAATGAACATACCCAGACGCCGCCGGTTACTTTGATACGGTAACCCCGTTATCAGCTACGGAACGCTGTCGATCTGGTTCGTCATTTTGAATTACTTTCTAATGGCTTGCGCGCGCCACACCTTCTATCGATCAAAATTGCTGTTTCGATTTATAGTTGAATGTGAAACATATTTGAAGATGACAAATATGCTTCATATAGCATCTTGTAAAAAGAGGAATAAAATTGAGAATAATTCTAAGGCGAAAATTTTAGAAAAAAATTGATCCCGAAATAGGACCTTCCTAAGCTAGAGTTATTAAATAATCGATATTGATTTTTTATTGTAGAACACAGAATCAGTAAGATATTATAAACAAGGATCATAAATTATAGTTGTGATTTAGGAACAAATTGCTTTATATCATTGAAATAATTAATATCTACTGTATCATAATGCAATGATATTTGGATTGGTGAAGTTTACTGCTAATGGAATAATTTTTACTTGGAAATATAATACTTATATGATTTATCGATTCGTTCATGCAACAAATGATATTTCGTTTATTAGAAAAGCCCTTTCTGCGAGCTAAACATGACAGAACGTAATGAAAGCAATCTAAAAATAACCATCGATCATACAAAATTTCTGCCTCGGGGGAGAATAAGAGTGGCTGACAGGAGAATACAGAATACTCACTGGGGAGTGCCCCCAAAAATGAAAGCGGCGTGTTGCGTGACACTTATTCGGTAGGAGATAATAACCATCTAAAGCTCCCGAATTTTGGTGGACAACCTAAATATACATAGCATGATATATTAGAATCATTCCACTGTTAAAGGGAGAACAATAAAAGATATACTTATTCGAGATATTATAAACAAACACAGATTGTTATTATAGTTCATATCATATTCAAATGTCTAAAACATTAAATTTTATTTATTTCAGTTACTGGTAAAACCTAGTAAAACTTGTATTAGTAAAACGTTAAAAATAAAAACTAGTTTAATCTAGCCTACAAATCTAATTATAAACATTCGTAAATAACAATAATAGAACTTTATTAATTTTAACTTCTAAATTCGAGTCGTAGTGATAAAATGTATACTAAACACTAGGCAACTAATTTGAGTTACAGAATTTTCGTGTTTTTAGTTATAGAGGTTTTTATAGTGGAAAATAATGAAGAAACTTTACGAGTTATAGAGATTCAAGTCATTAAGGTTCAAGCTGTAACGAATAACTACTACTGCAACACAGTAGCAGTGTCGATATGTCAGCACAAATCCTAATAATCTCAAATTGACTGGGACAATATCCCTGCTTTCTTCTCAAATAATTTAGGAACTTCTACATCGTCCTTTCAGGTGAACATGGCCGCCATTAAGAAATACAACTGCAACAACGGCAGCGAGTGCAGCGTTCTATCGGGGGTATTCAACTGCAGTCTTGGCCATTGTGCTAACTTAAGCGAACTGATGCTCTGCCATCACAAAGCCGACGGCATCGTCGTCGACAGCGAGAAGGACAACATGAAGCTGAATGGTTTCTTCAACTGCCAGAGCTCTAGATGCACAAAGATCAAGACTCCGTTCACGTGCGATCGATATTGTCCGAAAATCTCCACGTCCGATGCGAACGTGTTCCTCATGCACGACGATAACGTTGTCACTGCGAAGTGTGAACGGGGATTAGCTTTGAATATGGCCAACGGAAATCTGCCTGGAACTAGGCTGACCACGCCCGTTCAAATTTGGGACAGCCGGAACAGCAGTATCATTACTAGCTGCATAGCTGTCAGCAAAGAAAAAGATAGACTGAGGTAAGAAACAGGAACCTACAATCATTTTCATTTTCCTTCCTAACACACTGTTAACCGGTCACGATTTAACTCACGTTTGCACTTGCATTAGTTATTTCAATTTTTGAAACGTAGAGCAATATAGGATATTAGAAAAGCAAAATATTCTTAAGTTATATAAAAGATATGTCTAAAGTTTCGTTTCAATTCATTATGTATAATCACAGTATATTGAAGTATAGTTAGATTGTTTCAGTTTCATATTTAATTACGGAATAATAACCGGTGACATAGGATAGCTTCTGCGTAAAATTGCCGGTCAACAAGGTGTTAAACGAGCGAGGGAAAGTCTCGCGTTAAGCATGGCAAAAGCATTAAACGCGTTAATTCTGATAAGATACTTTTACATATTATATATTCCACAATATAAATCTAGCTTACAACCATGAATCGTTAATATCAATTAACATCAAATACGATTTAGAATAATGAAAATATCACGAAACTCATATTTACATAAAATACATACTACTTTTACAACTTTCTCATCACAATAAAACAATTGCACACATCACCAACATTAACCAAAAAACAGACGAAAATAAAACACAATGTCCAATCCTTTATTCTCCATTCACCCGAAATTCAAATCAAGCATGAGATACGTTCCGATCCAACCGATAAAGCTATTGCGTAACGCCACTCCGATAATTCAACCGTAGCTCAGTAATGGCACGAGCCGCGCGTGGTAACGGCGATCGCAAATGCAAATCCGCTGGCGCGCGGGGAGATAGCTCGTTTCATCGGGACTCGATGTCTGAGGCCGTAATTAAGATGTCGGGTGGCAAACAACCACGAACGTGCCACGTATCATTGGCCTGAATGGGTTTCGGTGTCAGTCGACGCGATCTGGGCGATCACTAGGGGTGGCCGAGAGTTCAACGCACTCCAGGCCATTCCGGATAACGTCTCCGGACTCGAGGAGCTCGTCCATTTCGCCGCCATGCTTTCCTCTCCCTTTCAATCCTGACTGATTCGCAGCAGTTCCCGCAAAAATGAGCTCCGAGATACGACGGCGTACAATGGTCTCGTGGGAGTAAACACCGCGAAACTCGCGGGTCGATCGCGCCACCCCTCGTAAAAGCGCGCTATTTACCATTTTCGGTGTCCTCGGCGCGCATTGGAATCCTCCCCGAAACCTGTGATCGCGTATACACCCGAGCACAGTGAATTACGGCGTGATCGTAAACGAATGATCGTGTTCGGCTGGAATTTTAATGGAATTTCACACACCAGCTACCGAGAATGATTTTGTATGAAGGTATTTTCGAAGAATCTCGGTAGTGTTTTCTTCTGTGCATTTGATAGGAAGGTCTTTGTGGATTGGAAATAGGCACTGGATAGATGTGTATATTGAACTGTTGGAAATGTCGTGAATTTTTGTTAGGGACTAACGAATATTTTTTATGTATATAGGGATGAGGAGTAATCTGTGGTGTATGTTAAAATTCAGTTGCGGGAGAAATGAATTTGGTAATTTGTTATGTAGAAGTGAGTATGAGTAGAATTCGTTGATGTGTCTGATCATTCATTGATGTTTCTACTTGTACTACTGAATATTACGGTGTCTTTGAGGTGATTTTGATTTCTAATACAAAGATTGTTACAGAAGGGAACTAATTATATATTATATGCTATATAGTATTTATATTTATTCGTATCAAATTAAAATCAATCGTTACCAAATATTCTAAATTATATTTTTAACTGTTCAGAATGTAAGAAATAAAAATACCCTGAAATCTCACGAAGCAACTCGAGTATCTGGGTTAATTGGATTTTTACCGGCTGTATCCGGTATCAATTGCTTCTTATCAGAGACACGTGACGTTTTCGCGTATTCCCTTTCTTAGGAGCCCAGAAGACACCGATAAGGGTATTTCCATGGCAACCATTGATCCTGTGCCACTGCCCGATCCACCCGAACACCAAGTTTTTCTGGCTGGCGTATTTCTTCGTGCGTTTCTTTTATTTCGATTGGTCCGCACGCTTTTTCATTTTCAGCAATGTCTTGCCGAGTCGCGACGAAAACGGTCGGGACGAGCAAAAGCGGCCGAGAAAGTCAGGGAAAGTTATTACGCGGTCCAATAACACGGAACAGTCGGTCTTCAGACTGTGTGTTCAAGCTTTTACGGTACTAAAAGGACCGTTCCGCTGGAAACCTTTTTACGGGAGCAAAGAGTCGCGAGAGTCACGGACATGCTGTCCCTTTTCGGGTGAAAATTCGTTTTGCACGGATATACTGTTACAGGCAAATATTTATATGGAAATGAAAACTTGTGATTTAGATGAGAATATTGTTTGCTACAGTTCATTCTAGATGAATTGCACTCAATTTAATACATGATAAACAAAATCTTTTCGATTGTTATTGTCCTTAATCATTTTATCTATTATGATTAATTAATCTTGGATTACTATCCTTTCTCACTTTACGATAAGGGATTAATAAATATATTTATACAGCCTAATATTCTTTACAAATATAAAACTTATTAACCTCGATTGACATGTAATAATGTCAATTAACATGGAAACCAAATATCCTACAAACACAAAAATAGTTTGATATTTTACTACTATATCGTTTTACCTACTGTGTACATAATTCCCAAATTATACGGAAATTGTCGAAAAGAAAATTTTGACAACTTTCAGTAGATTAGTCACTGATCATAGACATACGGAATTGTTAACCCCTTGCCATATAATTAGTGAGACTCGTAATGAAGACATTTTAAACAATTTAATAAAACTCAATGTTATTTATGATACCCAGGGGAAAGTGAAAAATTATTCTGTTATTCTCTCAATACTTTCATCCTTGATCTTCGAAATAAACTTACATGTACAATAAATCAAGAATATTCTTGTTCAATCAAAAATAATTCATAGCGAGATTAGTCACGACAATGTCAGTCGCGAAGAAAATTGTACGACATGGGGTTAAAGGTGAAGATAACAAGATTGTAAACATCATGAAAGATATTCATAGTGGTTGTTTCATGAATCCCGTGCCGGTTTCTCTGTCGCAGGGCAGAGGACTGCGTGAATGGCACCTTGTTAAAAGAAATCCCAGTGCCGCAACCGTACATCAACTTCACGAGCTTTCTGAATATATATGAGAAAAGCTTGCAGTACCCTGTAGATCCGACGAACGTCTACGTGCCGGCTCAACGATCGCTCACGATCTACAATAGTTCCCGTCTCTACATCAACCTGGAAGGCTGCGTGAATACGCTCAAGGGGGAGTGCAAAGATTTCCTTGCCAGTCACGGCCGGGATGGCGACAATCAGACAGCGCAAAGTAGATATCCCTGTTACTATAATAAGGTACGTACACTACAGAGGAAAAAACGTTTCATCTTATAACTTCGGAACGTGCACGCGTTTTTTCGACTTCCCGTGACCTTTACCTTCACTATAGGGAGAGATTAATTTCTTGGAAGATACGCCTACTCATTGACATTGACCGAGAATTCTTGGCAAAAAATTTTTATTTGTATTATAATTGAATAATAATGGGTGGGACAGACGTGTATTTATCTTTTGTGTAAGAATGATTTTAAAGTGTAACATAAGAAATTAAATAAACAGAATGATCAATTTAGTTTACTTTATTGGTTATTCTGATGTTGACGGATTTTACGGAAACAGTTGTTTGACAGTTTATATTGTAAGTAAGATATGCGTAAAGTATAAATGTGAAAATTGAAAAATGTCACAAAACGATTTTATTATTTATATTGTAAAAATTGTTTGTGTTTATGTAAAGTTAAGGGATGTTTTATGAGATAACAACTTTTTTAATACTGAAGGAAACTCTGTGTTCACGAACAGTGGTGTATACGAGAAAAATTGTATCGTGAAATATGTACGGAAAGAATGAGATAATTCTGAGGGAATTTCTCGAAGTAAACTCTCCTTGATTTTATTGCGAGCGTGTTTCTGCATTGAATTCTTTGTGTATTTTGTTCTGTTAGTTTTTAAGTTTTATGATTGAATAGTATTGATTTTCCGTTGCTAACTTAATTTCAATTCTGTTGGTATACAACGTATAACCAAAGTGAAAAATATTTGGCATTTACGTTCAGAATTAATTACAGATCACTTCAACGTCAGATTCATACCATTCTAGCGTATTATTTCACAACACACGAATGTTTACAGGCATTCACTATATAAGTGAATGCATTACATACACGCCACTTAAAACGCACTCGTGACACGGTTGCAAGTGAAATGCGAAGCACAATTTATTACGTACACCTCTGCACGCCAATTTCATGGTGCTTTGCTGAAAATTGTCGGAGTGTGCGTGCAGAGGTTCAGCAAAATGTTACTACCTAATTCCAACTTTATCTAACCGCACAATCTAATCTCGAAACGACAGGTATATTTTCTAAAGTACTTACTCGTTGGTAAAATAGAATTTAAAAGTTTGTGGCTGCGAACTCTAGCACTACGTTTAAAATCTAAAAGAGTACCCAATAATGTTTCTAAGAAATCTATATTGCTCACACAGCATTATTATACAATGAAGTAGTGAATTAATCGAGTTACTAATTAGAAATTCAACTGATTTTGTTCTTTATTTAATTTAATAACGTAAAGGTCACTAGATACGAGTAAATAATTAACTAACAGTATATTTGCATTAGTGTAGTTGTCAGAAAAAAATAAAAAACCTAGCTTTTTTCATTTTTACCAAACAATGAAATATAATATAATGGTTTTACTGTCTTGAGTTTTGGACGAAACTTTCTACTACAATAATAGTAAAATACTTGTTTCTTTCTATATCTTCAGAAATACGCTACAATTTTACATGAAGCCTCAATGTAATTCGTTCAGAATTTAAATGCATTATGCAACAAAATTAAAAGTCTCAACGGAAACCAGAAAATTAAATTAAAAAGTTTATCACACGGAAATGAAGGTACAATTTCCGTAATGAATCTGTTCCGGATGTGTCTATCCGCGTTGTTCGTATTCGCTACGGAGTTTCGTGTTTCATAGATTTTTCAAGGACAGCGAGAAAAAGTTTGCCTTTCTCTTCGTCGAGGAACATTTTATATTAAAGCGTTTTTACGCGCGGGTAAATAGTATTCGATTATTCCACTGGATGAAGGTAAATGATCGTTCGAATATGTTAAAGCTTATTCCTTCATTTCGAAATGCAACATAAAATGTAATATAAAATAATATCTTGATTGGAACATGTGTAATCCATCATTTCATTAACACGCTGATAATATTAGTATATCTTTCTCCAAATGACAGCAATTAATTACATTACAAAATATAAAAAATATATTAAATTACAGTATGTTATTAAACTTAATAGAATAAACGTACAAAAACAAATTGCACATATTGTTCTAACTATTGCATTGAAATATTGTATACGAATCGAACATTCCTAAACAATAATATCTTAAATTAAATAATCATACAAAATTTCATACTTCACGAGAACAAAACAGAATTTGTTATACCAAATCCTCCATATTAACGTCATCCTCGTAATTTTCCACAATATCGGCTTTCCTAAATCAATCCCCCCCAAAATCCTAATTTCGTCTGTGCCTTGATCAATCAATCACCCTTCCTCCGTCATCCGAATTCGCCACTCCAAAAGATCCACATGCCAGAGTCATCGGCGATTACTCAACGTCCCTATCCGCCACCATTATTCTTTCAGTAAGGAACTTCCCCGAAATCTGTTAGAAATGTTCTCGAAATACGTCAGAGACGTCTGAATCGAGAAATTTCGTTGATATAAATAAGACACAGTCATCTTTGAAATCATTGGGAGTCAGAATAATATATAGCTTTGTTTTCAAATAAAGAATAGTAACGAACAGTTTTCTTTACGTAAGGAGACAAGTAATTAAATGTGAAAAATAGTAAACAGTTTCGTTTCTAAATTATGTCTGTTATAATCTAACTATATGTTATACAGTTAGCAAAAAATGGCACTTTTATAGAAAAAAGGATGAACACCTTTCAGTTCAAACTTTGCATACATTTTTTCCCTACACTTCCGAATAAGCTTTAAGAATTTATCAGCTGAATTTATTCAGAAACACAGTTTCTACAGTCCACAGATGAAAAAGCTGTTCACTTAACGGCTTTTAATACTAAAACTACCAGACAGATCAAAGTGACTCATTCCTGATGTCTTTCTTTTGCAATTACTAAAAAGATAACAAATGTTTCTCTGCGAAGTTATTAAAGAAATTGATTTAGCAATACGCAAACAGAATAGTAAATCAAGTGAGGTCTGGATAGATGCACTCTTAGAGTTTCTACAGAGAAATTTCAAGAAGGCAATTCAACTGCTCGGCAGTTGCAGTGTTAAGTCATACAATTACATTAACCCTTCTCTGTATCTGTACATCTCCATCGCCCTTCCTGCGTATAATTCCATCCCCGTGATCGACCATGGGATTGTTCCAGAACAACTCATACTTCGTCGTGGCACGTTTCGACCTGAACAAGACACGCACGGAATTGCTGATCGCGGTGATCGTGCCGTCCGGCCTGTTCGTGATGAGCCTGACGACGCTGGTGATCATCACGCGGTCGGTACAGGTCGGCGACGACGCGAAGATGCGTTGCCGGTACTGCGTGGACAAACAGCAGGTGGAAGGCGAGGATGAAGGGCTGGTAGAGGCGACGCCTTCGTCGTCCCAAGGTCAGATGAACGAGAACGAGATCAAGAGTATGGCACTTTAGCAGTTTAAGCCGGCCGGGACGGGCGGCAGTGTGCTGCGGTACGAGAGGGTGCCATTGATCGACACCGACGAAGCTGAGGACTCGTTTTAGGCTACGGTTACATTCGACGCGTGTTCCATTTTAACGAATAAATATTTGATCATCATTGTGTACAACGTTTCTAGGAATTTGCATAGATGTTTGAATAGCTCAAAATATTCTAACTGCTATTTCCACTTCTCTCATTTCTTGTGAAGATAACCTTTTCTGAAATGTTCTTGTAATACTAATATTACGATTACTGATGTTAAAATTAATACTGATTAATATGGTTAATAACATTGGAATATTAGTATTAGAAATAGGAGTTAAATGATTCCTATTTCTGAATTCTCGAGAAGAAAAACTTTTCCGAAATGTTGTTGTAATACTAATATTACGATTACTGATGTTAATAATTAATATTGATTAATGTTGCTGATAATATTGGGATATTATCATTAGAAATAGGAGTTAGATTACTATCATTCTGAGCCACTCAGATGATTGCTTTGACGCATCGAGTTCGTCAACACGCAAATTCGACGGAACACGCGTCCACCATAATCACAGCCTTAACCGAGGGCATCGAACAGCGTCCCGGATTGAAATTACAGTGAATTTGATCGATCCCGGCGAAGCGAACGTTTTTCATCGTGACCGCCGACGCCACCCGGGAATCGATCACGAGATATCGAGTGTAGAGTGCACCGGGATGGACGTTACAACGAGTGACCGAGAATTAATTGGATTCTCTTTTGGGGATGCTCTTCGTCCCTGAGAAAAACAGTTCGAACATAGCTACGTTCTGTTAATAATGAGGATCATGAATTCTAAGAGAGGGACTGGTATTAGCTTATTGACGCCGTAGATGTTTGCTGAAAGTTAGTATAGGATTGAAATGCAAGTAAATGATCTCTCATATATTCAATTTATTTTTTAGGTAGGTAGGGCTGACAAGTGGAAGTATTTTTGTTTCAGTATCTTTGTGGTTTCAAACTGAGTTACGTTAAGGTGCGTATACGCCGGAGTTCGTTAACAAGTGGTGCAGGTACGAAATGATCGGTCGTAATTAGAGGGTGGATCTTTATGTATGTAGAAAAAAGTTTCCTCGATGTGGCTTAAGGAAAATTGAGTTAAATCGAAGATTATCTTTTTATCGATGGTCCTAATGTACTAAAATTAAAGTAAAAACAATATTGAATTGAATTGATTGAAATATAGAAATAATTTGTAAATAATCTCAAATATTATTGCTTAATATTATTTTTATATCCTACTCTTATTGTTTTTTTATTCGAATACTAAGAAAAACTTGTATTAAGTTGGCGCAGGCGAAAATGGACTCAAGCGCAGAATTTGTAATATTTCATTAAAAAAATAATTAAATGGGTATTATTAAATTCTGTCAATTGCAAGAATTAATTTTTTTATGTTTCATTTCCCGGTGAATACGTGCCTTAAAAGATAAATCGCGTTGAAAGTGAAGTTACAGAAAGAAGACTGAATTTTCGGTGACTATAGGGGTCTTTAATTATCAAAATTTATCGACTACTGTATCGTGTAGATCATTCAGTACTCGATTTTGTCATTATGCACCTTCAGCAAGAGCGCACAACAAATGTGTTCGAACATAATAGTTTAGTGATCATCGTTAGAAATTATTTTGCTCGACAAATGGAACAAACATATACATTTATGAGCTAGCACAGAAATGTTTACAGTGAATGGTAAGTTTTGAGATTAGGGTGGAGATTTCGATGGATCTCAGATGGTCTTCCGGATGAAAGAAAATGGCCGCATGATGATTCGAAATACTTTAAAAAATTCCCACTTTAGGGACCAAAATGATGTAATTATGAATGCACCAATGAATACTTCATTATTTTCTCTACAAAACCGTAATATCGTTGAAATTTGACATATCTCCCCACTTTTGTGCATAATATTTAAATACAATATTCCGAATATTTTCGATTCTTCTAAAAGGAAACATCAAGATTTGAAAAAAAAACTAATGGACTATTCATTGGTACACTTAATATATAAATAAATATTTAGGTACGTATGTACAGTTCGCATAATCACAGATGCCTTTAACTATTTTACCACTCTGTCGGAACAAAACGTCGAAAGTTGAATCTGTATAACAAAATTACCAGAAAAACTTATATTTATTGTGGAAATGTTTTCTAAATACTTATCTGTACAATCTCTTTTTACTTTCTTGCAAAAAAGGAAGATTCTAAAACTAAACTAAAGAAGATAATCGAAAAGACTTATTTTTAACAATCAGATTTCAGCGCGACATAAATCAAAGAAGACGAAGTGCAAATTAAATTTTTACAGTTTCATAAATTTTCCCTAAAACGTACAATTTCTTAGCAGTGAAAGACGTATTCTTCGAGTATTTTCTACGATCACACGTATAATTTCCGCGATTCGATGACGTGGATGAAAAATAGCACTGACATGCGATACTTCAAAGCATAATTTACTCGCTGGTTGTAAAAAGTTCATTGTTTATACGTGTGCGCGACAGTCCGAGGCACGAAAAACCATACCGCGACGCTTTCGATGTACAAAGTAGATTAGGCGAATTACTACTAGTAATAGAATTACGGTATACGTTACATGAAAACCGATCTCCCGTCGGATGATCTCGAGTTTCGACCGTCAACGAACATAGACTTTTCGTTTTTCACGCTAATGGAGTTGTGAAGCCAAGGTGTTGAGCGTGTTAATTAATGTAAGGGCTAACTATATAGTATTGTTTATAGTGCATTTTATCGAGCCCTCACGACTGCCTATATATAAAATTGTTTATGACGTAAAAATAAGTGAACTTGTTGGCTTTGTGTATTTGTTTCATACAAAAATGTGCAGAAAAATGAATGAGAAGTTTAGGTAAAATTAATTAAATCAATGAATTGTAATTTTTTATTTGTGATTTTTATAACAAAATTTTCGTAAGTGTAAAGTTCTATAAACTTTATAGTCTAAATTCTTTCGAGTAGAATAACCGTAAATTCATTCATTAAGAATTAACTTGATCATGATTTGACAATTGTAAAAGTATATACCAGTGAAATATGAGTCTGAGAAAGTTGTTAATGCTGTTATGTTCCATTCTTGTCTTTAGCATTGTATGTGTAATTGCTTGGCTGATGGTGGGGTTTATGTGAAGCAAATTGAATGTAAATATAAAATGTAAATTATATAAACTCTGAGGTAAGAGCTTTTCTGTGAATAAATGTATCGCGTTATAAATGCTACTCGAAAGTATTCTATTCTGAATAACATATAATAACATTTAAATAATAAATTTGAATATATTAATTCTAATTGATGCAGCAATGTTCAGTCTACACTTCGACAACATGACATCGCTGTGGTAATTTATATAAATAATATAGTTAAAAACAATGAAGCAGGTTGCTATAATCGAATGAAATATTGTAGGTAGTCGATGTAAGGAGTTTGTAGTGTCGCAATTTTTTAAATGCTTAAAAATTAAACCAGAAATGTATTATATAATCTTGAAGATCACCTGTTAGTTTATCACGATGTTATGTTATTTGTGCTTAATAGGAAATAAAACAAATTCGTTTGTTAAACGTTACATTGAATAATTACAAGAAAAAAATTCGATTAATGTTGTAACGTTCTTAAAGCTTTCGATAACAGTATTAAAAATTAATGAATTATTTTTCGTGAATATTCACGGACGTTAAAAGGGGTTCTAGTTATGTTGAATATTTTTATCACTGGCAACAAGAAAAATTTGAATTATGAATTCTAAAAATAATTTAACTCAGTATCAAAAAGTTGCTTGATCGATTTCATCCCTAATATACTCTACGTTTATTATTAGATTGTTGCGGAAGATGTTTATAGTGAACTCATAATAAAGATACGCATGATCTACGAATGTAATATTGTAAAAAGCTTTTCTAAATTACACAAAGCTGACGAAATTGATAAATTTTAGAATAATAAAGTACGATCGATTCCGAATAGGTTAAATATAACTTTTAACGAAACATTTTTTTTTAAACCATTAAAGATCATACCGACCCATTCAATCAGTTATTAAAAGAACTTTTTCTAATTAAAAAACACATGCACACTTGTTGTGTCTCCTCTTCTCGCAAATAATATACAATAGATAATAGACCTACGTATTACATGTAAAATATGATAGCGTCCTTTGAAATACGCGTATAAAATCTACAGGACCCAACAGAATGAAAAGTTTTCAAACTCATCATGCTCTATGTGCCTTCTTCCGTTTACGCTAATAATTGATAAATTTGTAATCACTCGTGTCTTTGGATGGTGCAACACTTTCGCTACGGAATTATTCGAACGGAAACTATTTTCACATCAAAATACACGAGAGTGCGAAGTTTCGGTCTTTTATGGAACCCAAGAGTCTCGATTGAAACGTAATTTAAAAAAATGGCGAATGTATTACGATATGGGCCAAATTAACAATATACAAATTTATAGATAGTACAGAACATAGGGAAACTAATTTTTGAAAGTATTCGATTTAAACAGCGAGGGGGTTAAATAAATTGCGTCTACGGTGTACCAGAAATAAATTATTGTAATGTTGCGTGCCCTCTTGAGAGTTGGCATCTCTAAAATGTAACGTCGAAAGTGAAACTGACATTTATTGCAAATGAAATAAAATGAAATTAAAGTGTCACGACTTACTAATCTGTGTCTGCCATCCAATTTTGCATTTAACAACAGCACTCTCAAGTTGATACGTTACATAATGCTACTTGTCCACATGAATGTAAAATACTGCGAATTATGTTCACGAGAGTGAGCACGAGAATTAATGGAAAATAGGATATAGATAATATTTAGTATTGTGCCTACTAATAAGAGTTGTTTTGGGAAATAGTTATTTTTTAGTGGACATCTAGCATAAGGAGATCTGTACTTACATGAATGAATGTATTATTTATGTTGTGCTCTGATGTAACTGTTCATATTATTCGTCATCTGAGTATATTTGTAAGAATATATACGTGTACCAATTAATGCAACATACATGTGTCGTTTATAATAAAATAATTGTTTAACAAATTGCTGCTCGTTACAATTATTTATAATGTATACTTTGTATTTGTATTAAATCCATTTTTCAGATGCCCCAAAGTTTTACAAATTACGATTCTAAATTTGAATAAAATTCTAAATACTAAATTTTAAATGTTAATTAAGCCCTAAATTTTCAATTGTCAATCAATTTTAAAAGATCAATATTTTTCACTTTCAAAATACAAAAAATACTACACTTCATAAATGTCATTAGAATTTATATGATGGATAATAAAAGTCGCACGTATTGAACCATATTACGCAATAAAAAATCGAAACATATGTATAAATGAATATTCATCTTTCTTCGCGTTAATGGATTTGTGTCGCGTATATTTTTGCGAGATTTGAGAGGAAATGTTTACTACAATTGGATGGAAACTTCATGAATGAAAGTGGTGTTTGCTACAAGCCGAGCAAACATTCCAATATTAGATATTTACATAAACAGTCACGTTTAATAATGCTGTAAATTACAGTCCTTACGTTTCATTCATCTAGATATCAACCCAGGCGGAATACCGTAACCGTAGAGATCGTAGTATCAGAATAGTAATAACGGAGTTTGCGTGCCTTACCGTAGTTTGTGTCGAGGACACGACTTAAAGAAGCTACGCTACGCAAAATGGAGTAGGGCGATTGGAAATTATGATATTTCATGAAACGATTACTCAGTTTTGTAAATTACGATAAAAATAATTGCGGTTGAAGACACAATTAATTATCGTATTTTAGTCTATCCAAGAAACTATAAGTAATATTTACTGATAAAAATTAGTACAAAATTACTAGCATGATCAATATTTTATAGTAACCAGGAATATTCTATCAACTGTTTCTTATCTCCATCGAAAATACTCGTTGCAAACAAAGAAATAAAAAGGAAACAATTGACAACTATACAAAAAATAAAATAAAGTATTAAATAATTTTCTTAGGCTCTAAGTTCACTTAATTACTGACAAACATTTAGTTCACTAGTATTTTGTTATTTTTTGAAATAAGAACAATGATTAAAGTAGCATTAATAGTAGAAATAATAGATTGCTATGCTTCAAACACGAATATTTATACGTGTATCTTGCAAAAATTGGAGTAACATTATTAGCAGGAATTGTGAATTGTTAGATGTACGTTATAACGCAGAATAACCCGGTTCACCCAACATAAGCGAGTTACAGCGTTATGTTAAGGCCAGCGATTCCAATCGCTATTCAACCCGCATGAAAGCTCTAGCTATAAACACAGAGTTCCAGTGATCTATAATAATAAACGATCGTAATAACTAGTTTTCTCGAAAGATTAAAGAGTGCGAGCTATTGAAAAATAATTTATCACAGAATCATAAAAGCACAGTAGTTCGTGTTCTATTTTTTAGCGACAGATGTAACAACGATAAACGATAATTACGCTACACTTTACATTTTGTATACCTTTTATGTGAACTAATATTCATGAACAGGATGTATTCCATAGTAATGAGGATCACAAAAAAATGTTGTATATTTTTAAGCTTATATATGTCGGAAATATTTACACGGTACTATTTAGATAGTTCATAAACAAGAAATATATGTACATAGACTATTATGATTCTTGATGCTCCATCATTACACAATAATTATGGAATTATTTAACAACGAAACTCGTTAATCAAACTTATTTCTATCTTTTGTGTATTAATATCTTTTTCTACCACATTAAAGAACAAATTTCGTGTCCGTTATTGTTACTCAGAGAATATTTTTAATAATAGCATAAGAAACATTTCTTCAGTATTATTCGATAATACTTTCATATTGCAACGCTCGCAATATTATCTAACCTGGTTAATTATGGCTGCAGACCACTAGGAAATGTTAGCTTATGGTTATTACGAATCATAGCCGCTTATAGTAATCTTTTAATGGTAATCTGGTTTGCGATAGGAGTTAAGCAACAGTTATGAACTCTCACGATTATACGTAGCAACGAGTATAAGCTAATGTTGTTTATATTTCCAGTTATATTGATAAAGAATGATAAAATCGAATGTCATCAACAATTATTGTCGTCGAAAGTAGGTCAAGATCGAGTACGTTCTCATTCACAAGTGTAAATCAATAAAGAGAGATTTTCATCAGTTAGTGTTGTTGATTCGATAGCAGTTAAAGTTTCGATCTTTTTCTACCTGTAGAATACAAAATCAACGATACGAATTTCAACGATATTTTGCAAGGGAGAGATCGCTCGTACTAGACAAAGTACAAAGCTCTGTTAACCTTACACGAAGGGTTGAAACCATCAGATCGATACACTAATGTAATCAAGACCTTGATACCATCTACACACATAGCTACGCCCAGTGACTGCTCAAAAAAGAATTACTTTTTTCCATGACGGCGGAACAGGTTGCAAATTAAATTTGCAAATTTTGTTGTTAAAAACTTCGAAGTTCAACAAATAATTGCGAAACTACATTTAAAGTTTAATGTCACAATCATTCTTTTGAACAGGCAAAAATTGTTTATTGTGTATTAGATGTAAATTGTAGAAGATTGAAATTAAAAATTGAATAAAGATTTTTGTGACCTTCTCAATTATGTATCTGAAATAATATCCCCTGGAAAATTCTTTTACCAAGAATAACCGGCTCCTTCATCTTGACGATATCCGAGGAAAGTTTTCGAGACAATAGCAATCACCTTTCTATTGTATCACATTTTTCACGGTTATTGTGCGGGGAAAATAACATGGATTCGTAACGATGAAGCATTCCTCTCAGTGAGGAAAAGTTCAACGAGCTCATTATTTATGGTGTACTAATTCAACAGAAATTGCATTAAATGTACGTTTCCAGGCTTAACAAGCCATTAAACATCTTGGAAATTTCGCAACTAACAACTCTAATTATCCGCTGAAGTTTATACGAAACGTCGAACAAAATATATACTAATTCAATGGAAACTCTTCGATAGCTTGTTTTACGAAGCGAAAATTTCCCTACGTACGCAATTTATTAAGAAATATAACACTGTTAATATTAATTATATTAGTAAATAGAATCCAAATTTTATAAATTTATAAACTGCAAAAAAAGGGAATGTAATTGATAAAATGCAATCAAAACCCTATTCTATTTAGAGTCAATTAATATTCTTAAGGAAGGATTTAAATTGCTCATTTTATTATATGAATTCATAAATAAACATATGAATAAAAATCGGCAGTCCATTAATTATATTCCAAAGCAATTTTCAGTATTATTATTTAGATATTAATATAATCGACTCATTAAAATGTCAATAACATCAATTAAGCACTAACCCCAACAAGGAATAAAGTATTTATGAACTACTTCGTAAAGAAACGATTGCCAAAAAATATCTAAAAGAGAGTTTATTTGATTTCACCACATTCGTAAACAGCATAAAATTCTATTATTGATCCTGAAACGCGTACTACGATGTCGTGAAAAGCGGTTGCATGTATACACGATAAATATGTATGGTGAATAAACAACTTCCACTCAATGGGCAAATATTACCATACCAATCAGATATCGTTGCAATTCAAATAGAAAGATCCGGGCACGGGAAAAGAATGATCGATCGGATGCACATCTTCGAATATCGCGAATTTGAATGGGGCGGAATGTAGGTACGAGAGCCAACGAAAGGGAACCGCAAGAGACAAATTGTATTATTGATAGGCCATGGTTGAATGCACCTAGCCACGTAAATGGAAATCACGCAATTACGGCTCTTTGATCGATAACGGAAACGAATGAATCGTTTCGTGGAGTTCGTTGAACTGGTACGAATCAATGTAACGTACGTGACTTCGTATACACTTCATTAATTATGTGTCTCCGTTTCGCCGTTTCACTTTGATAATTTTAGAGATCAGATTTCGAGAACCGTTTAACGAAAATCGCTTATTTCGGATGGACGTTCTATTCTGAATTCTCAATTCTGGTTTCCTGTGACGAATTTACTTGTCATTTATTAGATTTCGTTTCGATATTACTAACATTCCCTGTTATACATTAGCAATGTTAGGTAGTTAATACGGCCGTAGGAGGATATTAAAGGGAGAATTGTTTTAGACAAAAATGAATTTTCTATGCTTAATTAATATTTTCCCTATGTAATATTCCATTTCAAACGAATTAACCTAGTTTGTAAAGGGCATTCAGGAACGTTTATGATCAATAGTAAAGTATGCGTTGCCCTATCGCAGTATGTAAATCAGTGACGACGGTGTTTGTCGATGTTATTTCTAGACAAAGGTTGCAGTGACAGGATTCCGAAGGTTCGAAATATCCATGTGAATTGTAAATTTTGTATTCAGTAGAACCTTCCATTAGTCGGAAATAATTGAGAGAGCATTTGAACATAATTATTTGTGAAAATAAAAAACCCTTATTATACAGTATTTGAAAAATAGTATAAAAGTAGCCTTATGAATATATAAATTAACATGCATTTAATGTAAGTACAAAGTAGCTTTCTACATGTTGAAAGACATAAAACTCTATTCATATAGAAGTCGAATAAATAATCATCTGAGCTCAATATTTACACAAACGACATATAACTTATCCATGACATCAATGTAAAATCGGTCATGTTAAAATAAGGTATATTTTTCTATGTAAAAATAGATTTAATACATGTATGATGCTAAAAGTTTTAAATAATTGAATAGACTATTTTATAATGACGATCTCAATTATATTAAAAATGTATTATAGAAATGGAGACTATAGACTAACTTATTTGCGATTTTTCATTTTATATATTACATACACTGCATTATCTTTGTAAACTTAATTGTCTGGAGGCAGTTCTCTGTCAACGAAGAAAACTACTTTACTGGCAGAAGGAAATATTCACTTACCTTTAGCTGCTCCTGTCGTCTGTAAGCGTGTAACATCAGCTGTTTCCGTTCCTCTTCCGACATTAATGGTTCACGCGCTGGTCTTCCACCACCCCTTTTTTGCAGTTTCACAATAATTCGCGTTTTCTCATTTGCCCCTGCATAATCTTTTATTTTCCTTCCTGGTAACATTTCTTTTCCTGAAAACCACAGTTGTGCCAATTGCACGTCGATAACCTGGAACCAAAAAAATATTAATTGAAATTTTTATATAATATAATAAACTCTGTTTTTCAATTTACGCAAACATTTCATGTGATAGAACCTTTTATTTGATACTAGGCGGATCTAGTGGAAACTAGTTGCAAACACTACGCTACCGATAATTCAGGCAAGCAGGCTAGTTAGTAGGATTAAAGTATCCTGTATACTTAGTTTGCACTACGACTACTCAAGATGAAAATGGTATTCATAGAGTTTTTAGAATGTAATAATGTAGAAATTCATTGTACACATGTACTTATTCGTGATGGACAACGAATCTAAATTATGCTGTCAACTTAGAATATTGATAGGATTCTGGGGATTCTCAAGTCTAGCACTGATAGGACTCTAAGATTAAGATTTCATAAAAACAATGTGTTCAACTAGTCTAATATTGAACAGCAAGGACCATTTTTGGTCAAAAACTATAATACGATAAATACAATTTGTTAGAAATACAGCATTTATATTTATGGAATGTATCTTCGAAATGCAGCATCAACGATAATCATATTGTACGAGCAATCATACACATTGTACTCAATTCTATTTTCACTCTTAAAATACTCTCATGTAACTAATAATTGAATTACCTCAAGAGAAGCTTGAGTTCCACCAAGATCCTCAGTATTTTCAAATTCTTGACGAATAATGTCGTGAGGCGGCAATCCCATCGGATAGACAATAGTGACAGCGCCTCTCAAAATATCCAAAGCCTCCTGCACAAGTTTCTGCGTAACCAATTTATCTTGCTGTACCAATTTCTACAAGAAAAATGACGGGCAGATAGCAATGAAGAAATGATTATCAAAATGCATTACGAATGCAAGGAAATCCATTCTAAACCGGACACATGAGAAATTACCTTCGAAACCATAGCTCGTGCTTCTTCGATCGTTTTGTCCAAGACCTCCCGCATCTTCGCATTAGGTTGTTTGCCGTTCCTGCGGCCTGAAACATGGAAACCCTCTGAACGTTCCAGCCAGTCGAGCAATTAACGCAACGATTACAAGCCCATTCGAGGCAACAAAAATCCCGGTGAGCCAATTCCTCGACAGCATTGTACACTTCGTTTCCGATAACTGGCATTTGCATTCACGGGGAACGGGTCAGCATAAAACAAACTGCCAACCTGCCTAAGGCTCGTTCGAGACTAGGTTCCCTCCTTAATATGGTTTCACGTACCGATAACGTCCTTGTTAAAAGTCCATCCGCCCATCGGTACGCACTTCTCGCCCCACTCGTCCTTGAGTTTCAAGTCCTCTACCTGATCGTCCGTGAGGCCCATCATGTTAGGGGGCAGCATAGTGCCATGCTTCGCTAGCTCCTCGATTTCTATTTTGTTGGGAACGCAAAACTTTCGATTAACACTTCGAAAATCTGTTATGTTGTAAAGCATTTGCAGACATTTGTATATTTCTAGTATAATTTTATGCTACTTTGTATATATTAATATTCTCTGCGAAAGAAATATTATATTCGAAATCGGTCTCTAAAAATTTGTTTTGGGTAAAGTTGTAATTTTCATTGTAATTTTAAATCTGTTTGAAATAAAACTTTGAAAATTGATGACAAAAAATTGCGTTCTACAATTCTATCTACTGTAATGATATCTTTGTAAAATGTAAAATATTTGGAATAACTTTTAATATTAACACGTACTTTTATCATTAAGGGTAGTTTTAAACCTTTTTATATCCAATTTTCATAGGAAGTAAATTTTACTTTACAGTTACCTTGATTAATAGCATGCCTCTCGGTACACACGCAAGCGAATAATTAAGAATAATAGGTGTGAAGGATAAGCCATCAGTATTCATAAAATAATATACGAAATTCGTGTGTATAACTAATTAAATATTAAAACAGGTAAAAATCAGTCTCATAAAATCAATACTCAATTGAATGTGAGCACACAATTGACGAAAATGTAGAAAATGTGTAATTAACATTATGCTCTTCCATAATAGCGTATGACTAATGTCGCGCGGCGGCTAAGCAGGACTGCTGTATAAACTCGCCCCACGACTTCTTATTACGCACGGATATTGCCAGACGCGGCTCAGCGTTCTCCGAGATAATCGTTAATGGATTTCTCGCGTTAATATTCCGTCTAGAAACCCCGGCCATTCAGGGATACTAGGGATTCTTTGAAGACCGGGATACTTCGGCAGGATGGAAGATGGGTTAACGTGTGAAATGGGGTAATTCATTACTTCGGGAAGGGTTGTAATTACCCCTCGGTAGAAATCGAACATTTTTCTTCCATTAGCAGCGATAATTCCTTGGGTATTTTTACTACCTTTTGACTTGGTTCTTTTAATTGGCACGAAAATTGATTGTCTGATAGCAACCCTAATGGTCCGTCTATAAAACTATATCTCTGAACAGTTTATAACTGAAAAAATAAATATTTCTAGTGAACTATTGTACTTGTATCTATATATAGAATACTTCAAAACAATAATTCGATAATCGAAATATCGAGATATCGAAGTGTTGCGTGTCTATGACATTAATATGAGCTACTTAAGAATCCACACCATGCAATTTCCTTAAATTACCTTGAATCGTTGAAACCGTCCGCATTAATCACCCCGAGAACCTGCTCAGGTCCTGACAAAGTAGCACATCCAGCAAAAGCAATCTCCCCGGCCTATAATTCAGCCGGGGCAAGTCGAAAAAATAGTTCGCGACAGAAGTTTCTCCGTCACGAAGAATAAGGGATCGAATGGAAATTAAGATCAGGTTGACAAAGAGAGTAGACGGAAAGAAAGTGTATCTGCCGTGGATTTCTTGTGGTCTGTGCTGTATTAAGACCGCGTCATTAAATTAATGACACAATTGGGAAACAAATGAAGGGATGCGTAACTTGTTATCGCCGATGAAATCATTGGCATTCGAAACGCCTGCGGGGTAACGTTCGATAAAATCGCACAGGTTCGGGCTCGGCCGCAGCAGAAAACGGTAATAACGCGTTGCACACCCGTTACCCCGGACAACTCATGCCACTTAACTTACGGTCCGCGCGGGCCGACTCCTTGTAAATAAAGTGTAACTTTCCAGACAAGCTGGCGTTTCTTTGCACGCTATTAGATGTCATCTTTCCGAAGCACTTTCTCAACCGGGCGGACACGGTGGGGCAGGGTCATTACCATAACATATTCTGGAAATCTTCAGCCGGCCGTTGTAAATAATAGTAATGTCGTATATAACGTCCTCGACCATAGCCTCCACGTGTGTGTCGTATAGAAACTGACTCTCCTCGCCTTTCTTCACGTGTAACCGGACCATTTTCTGGGAAACTTGAAACAAAGCGATACCGTAAACAGGCCGCGCTTTTATTAGTCCGTGGCGCTTCGCTTTTCGCAGCGACGCGACGAGCGATGTTTCTTCGCGGAAATCTTCGAGATCGGATGATAAATTTTCTCCCGACGTGACACGGAATCATGAACACTCACGTTCGAATTTCGCAAATGTTTATGGCGCCGTCAGCGATTTAACCCGTGTGAATTACCGGTGTTTGATGAAGCATAGAAGAACGATTCCAGAAATAAATTAAGAAATAACGTTTTTGGAGAAAAATGTTGGTAATATTATCTTTTACAGTTTTAATATTTCAATAATAATTTAATAAGAATTTATTACTCTCAAATTATCTAAATCTAATAATTAATCAAGTAAAGATAATTCTATAAATCCTACTTTTGGTAGAATAATGAAACATCTGACGATTTATTTGAAGAGGCTACAGTAACAGTGTTAATTTACCGTATCTGTATATATTATGAGCATAATTCTTGTTATACCCGGTTATCTCACGAAGCGGATGATAAAAAAGCACAAATTTCAAACATATCGGTTTTAAACGACAGAACATTTGATAATGTAATTTCGCAAACGTATAAAATTTAATGAGCGACAAAAAGGTTACCTTTCAGTACGAGTGCTTGACTGAAAAAACCTTAATGATTCCAGTTGATCAAACCACGAGCCGGTTCCGCAACCTCATGCAATCAGAAGATTGTCAAGTAGCTTAATTTTCCCAGTAATCACTTTCTATAAAGATTGAAAATACCGGACACGTGGTAGTCACGAAACGAATAAACTCGAGTGTTCCCTCGGGATTGACGCATGAACGTAACGTCAACGTACCGATAGCGGAATGACAAAGCTTACCGCGACGAAAACTGAAGCGAGCTCCGGCAACCAATTCCTGGCAACAAGGGATATCGATTAAACAAATCGAAACGTGTTAAACCTGTCCGACTGCATTGTCTGTCGTGCAATGAACGCTATGATAAGCATGAATGGAGGTGCAATTAAATGGTTCAAATACGAGGTACAGAAAATAAAACGGTGTCGTTTAATGAGTATATAATTGTGTTTCATTATTGTATAATATACATATTTACATTCTAGTGAAACACGGATTACAAGAATAAAGACGATCATATATCGTTACAAATAACGAAGAAACAATCATACGCTCGTTTCATTCTCTTTCTTCCTTTCTCTCTCTATCTCGCTCTTTTTCTCTCTCTTTCATGCACTCACACATGCGCAGGCACAATCATTCTCGTGTTCCTACTGGCGTTTTTTGGACACAAAAATATCATATATTTTTTCCATAGAATTACTTTATGTCAATAATAATAATAATAATAATAATAATAATTTTAATAATAATAATAATAATAATAATTTTAATATTAATAATAATAATGATACTAATAATAATACATAATGATAATAATAATAATAATAATAATAATAATTAAATATTCTCGACGTAACGTTCTGCAGAATAAAAATCTATACACTTAAGATTGTAAACTCCATAATTTCCTCTAACTGTAAGTGACTAGTATTATGTTAAAATACATTTATAATTCGATTCGATGAGGTGTATTATTCTTCAGGTCGTTTCCTGTTTCCGGGGTTCTGAACGTGGGTGGTCCCTAGATGCGTGTATAGTCGCGTGCGACACGCGCGAACGTGTCTCGAACGACGATTAATCGTTCCTAAATGCTCGACTGGCCGAGAACCATCGAAAAGAGGAAAAGAAAAATACAAGAGAAAAAGAAGTAGAAGAAGAAGGAGAAGAAGAAGAGACGAAACAAAAGAGGTGAAAGGAAAAACGCAAACGAATCCTTCGAACCACCGCGACTCGATTAACATTTATAATTTTGCTTGCTTGTTTCTTTTGTTCTTAACCAGGCGGACAATTAACAGTAGACTCTATGAGAGCTTCAACGATTCAACATCGCGTTACGAGTGACAATTACGACTGCTTAATTAAGAGGAGTCCCGCCGTGTTCTATGTGGGGGCGGTCGGACTCGATGACTTACACGTTTACTCAAAATCCTTTCGCATTGCTCGATTAATCGGATTAATCGTGTGGGGTAGAGTGGGGGGCTTGAGGGACTGGGGTCGATCGCGACGTCGATCACGATCGGAACGCGTCACGGAGTAGCTCGGTCGAACGCACCGTGAAAAATCGCACGCCGATTCGTCGTCGTCGTCGCCGTAACTGTTTATATAAATAGAATACACACACGTGTACGTGTACAATATACATATACGCTCTACGATACTTTACACGGTGCCACTCGTCTAGATTCTGACATTTACAAAATAAAATTGCCTCTAATATAATCATTCTCGACGACGATATGACGGCTCAGTGATATGATACAATAGAAAAATTGGCATTTGGTCCGAAAGAAACATACAAAATGTCGGGCTCTTACATATTAACTGGTGTGCGGGTGTGTGAATATGTATATACGGCGCGCGAATTGCTCCTGTTCCGTTGTCACTTTTACCTATTTCTGCTTTTCATCTGGCGAGATCGCGAATATTGATGATGATACGCGGATCACACAACTTTTAGCGATTACGACTTTCGAGGATCGAAAATACATTAACGCGTCTCCTTTCTTATGCATTCGCGCACGATCGTTTGGGCACCACCAGTCTAGCTCTTTGCATTCGGTGAAACTGGTGGAAGAAACCTGGTTCTCCTTCATTTGGAATCGCGAGTGACGACAACGTCGGACTACTTGCAAAAATAATGCGTTACCCTACGTACACGGAAAACACATATTAGCATTTCTCGGTTATTTCTTCTTCCTGCGTTACGATGTCCTGCCATTTAACTTTCGCGATCACTGGACGGCAAGATCCTCGGACAATGAAGCTTTATCGAGAATTCTCGTTTATTATTAAGATGACGATTAATTGTTTCCCGTTTCGTGGTTCACAACAATTTGACGCCTACGCTAAACGTGTTGGGCTTCAACGGAAGCCGCAAGCTTCGACTGTTTGACATCGATTAAAGCTCAAATATTAGTTTCTTTTTGTTCGCGAGTGTTGGTTTTGGATTGACGGGGTTCATGTTCGATCGCGAGTTTGGATTTAGCGGTAAACCTCGGTCATTCCTCGCTAATGGTAGGCGCGACCTGTCGCAGCTCGATCCTGCGTTCCTGATGCTGATCTTGCGCGTCTTGATCCTGCAGAGTCGTGTAAGGACCGTGCAACGGGGATCGTTGCACGGTAGCCTCCTCTCAGACTTTACTCTCGGGGCCGTCGGTTGTGTGCTTGAAGGAGTTGCGGATTTTACTAAGGTGAAGGGCAGCGAGGTGGCCATAACTCTTGTTGTACCATTCTGGAGTGCGTCCTCTGTAACGCGAGACGATGAATTAATTAAATTCTGCAATAGCTCCTTGATTCGTAAGTATTGTAAGTGAACCAAAAATGTTTTATTTACTATAAAATGAATAAAAATTAAGCAAGCTGTTCTATTATTTAAAATAACCTTCATCTTCAATTCTTGTTTAACAATTGTTGTTATTGATTTGATTTTTAACATTTTCTGTTACTGATTTGAATGAATGAAAAAGTAAGAGTTTCATTATCATAGTTCAGAAAACCTTGTATTTTACAAGGTCTTGAATATTTACATAAAAATCTAGTCTTTTGATCTGTAACTACATTTAATTGAAGAATTCCTTAAAAATGATTCTAAATATTAGAATACCTAATGTAAATTTATGAATTTTTTTAATACAAAATTGTTTTAAGTGTCAAAAAATACTCACTTTGTATCCACTCTGGAAAGGTGCATGATCCGTGATTTGCCACTACCGCAAGGTTCGATAAGATATCGCGAGGCCAAAACAATACCGCGTGTTCCGCCAAGCATGACAGGAGCATCCGGATGTTCCACGGACGTTTCTACGATCACGCAGGCCCCTTTGGGGAGATCGTTACGCCAGGATCTGTATAACACAAGATTACATTACTTACGGCTCTGTTGCCATCCATTATGTCGACGCCATTAGAGCGTTCTAATAATTCGCGGCGTTCGGAAATAACGCTCACCTTAGCACACAATAATCCCTAGCAGGAAGTGGACTCATATTCCCGGTGGCGTATTGAAAGACCTCCACGTTGCTGTCCAGCTTGGCGACTAGTCTGTATTTTAACAGTTGAGGGTCCCAGATGTGTCTTTCCCTCAGAACACGGTGAAGAAGCTCGTTTGGCGGAGCCTCTACTTCCGTCGACACTCGCCACAATCGCAATGGATGCCCATCTCCAACCTTCTTGTAAGCCATTTCCACTGTACTGTCTGCTGGGTTGTTGACAGTGACCCATCCTCGGCTCCTGGACAATTTCGAAATAACAGGTTTAAAATAAAATCATTCGAATTCATGAAGAAAATTATATTATTGCTAAATAAAATTATTTATGCAGATTTGGAAAATAATATTATGGTAATGTATAATGTAAACAGCAACTTTTATTATTTTTATTTGAGTATGACACAAAATTTTTACTTGAAGAAATAAATTATTTCCTCATTTTGTTCTTGTAAAGAAATCTACAAAAATGAAAATTTGCATTGAAGTTCGCGGTTTATAGGTAAAGTGCAAGGTATAACGTAAAGAAGGAATAAAAGTGACAAGTACATATCTGGACACATGCTAAATACCAACATAATGAATTTTAGTTTACTTGCCCAAGCTTCTTCAAGATCTATTTAGGTTTAATTCATAGTTAAAAATATTTCTTTCATTCGCACCACCTTCCATTTAGCGTATTTACTTACATTCTCTAATATTATCAGCTTTATCAAACACAATGTACCCTATTCCAAACAGTGAAGGTATACACACGAGGACAGTATATCGGAAAGGCAGAGGCAAATCATCAGACCATGAAATTATTGAAAACTGATGTCTATTGTTCTCCGTAATCACTGTATATGAACCTAGCAGCCCGCTTATACATGAAAACTACCGTCCGTTGTGTATTTAATCATACATGACTCTTTTCATTTTTTATATTTCAAAGGCTATCATACAAAATTAGACAAATCGTTAAAGCAAACGAAATTTTAGTTGATTCAGCTTGTTCGTATACCATGACAGACGCGATAGATTGAAAGTGTAAGAGGTACTGTGGGTCACACTCACTTTTCACGTGCCTCCTTCAATAAAGCCGTGGTGCAGGCATAAAGATATCCCCTCCAGTCCTGTTTGAGCTCGGAGCCGAGCTCCTCCAAGGCGACCGGTACGCTTTCTTCCATGTAATTGAAATGACACTGCGTCAACATATCCGAGGAGACCTGATACAACCGAACAGAGAAACGAATACGATTACTCGCGCTGCAACGTCGCTGTACGTAGGGCCGGCTCGTGAGAACGTGTACGGGTATATATTGGATTCGAGCGCGATCACAATCGGCGGGGTTTTAGAGACGACGGATGACGCTCCTCTCCCGAACGACCTGGACGTTCGGCATCGAGGCGAACTCACCATGAATAATTCACGATGCATCTTGACCAGATACAGAAGACAGTCGTGAGCGGCTTTGTTTTCCGACAGTTCCCTCTGATCGGGAATGCCCACGGTCTTTCTTCTACGTGGCGATACGCTGCTCGACCTGTTGGTCACGTTCGTGTTGCTGTGGTTGAAGTGGAACAGGCTCGGTGCCAGGCACACGGCCAGGTTCGAGGCTGTCATTTGGTTGTAGGGAGCGTTGCTCGCTACGTGGTTCAAGAAATCGAGCAGAGTCTCCAACGCCTCCCGGTGCTCGTCCGGCAGAAGCAACAGAACGCACTGTACCGCTTCTGGTCGCAGCTCAACAGGTACATCTGTAATGTTCGTGGACAATCACCGTTAAAGGACAACCGATTACCAATTCTCTATACTTTGATATTTTTTTTATTTATTGGCCTTGTGGTTAGTGGCTCTAGGAAGACGTAGAAACTGTAGAATTTATTTGAATGTATAACCTTTGATACTTTCTTTGTGGAATAATATTTTTGTTAAAAATGATTTTTCAGTGACAATTATGAAGATACGAATGATAAATGATGAATCTTCCCCTTCTGCGCTTTGTAGGATTAATATACAAAGATAATTTAGAAATTAGGTCTCAGTTGAAATTATACGTTACAAGAAGTAATCACTTTAAATTGATGGAACCCTAGAAACAAAAGAAAACAAAATATACTTACGTTGAAAGATAGCGATAAAAGTCTCGGAGAGCTTGTTGGTCAATAACGCTTCCGGCAGTTCCCTGAAGTATTGTTTCACGAGATCAGCCACGTCGAAGGCTTGTTGGCCGTCGAAGTTGATATTATCCCCGAGGGTCTCCGTCAACAACTTTAATTTCTGTATCCTCGACCTGACCCCACTCTTCCTGAATATCCCGACTTGATCGAGCGCGTTCGCCCTCAACCATCTCAGAGCTATCTGTATACACTTTGGTAAGGCTTGTCCAGTCCGCTGCAGAGACAGCAGCAACGGGACACCGAATACTGTCTTATCTTTATAGTCAGGAGTCTTTATCTTCCTGATGAACTTCGGCAACTCCCAGTTCCACCCCGTCCGATGAGTGGGACAGTAGCGTTCCATGCAAGCAGTCAGCTTCAGGAGAGCCAATTTTCTGAGGACTAACAACTGTCCGCAGGACATAGATGCCATCGCTCGGGGACACAGAGGATCCAGAGGATCCGGATACAAAGATCCCCTCTGGAAACTGTGCCACCTAACCACGGTACCCTTGTGCCTGGGCGAGTCCTCTTCCTGATCGGAGTCACGACTGGCTACCGTCGAGCTGCTCTCCTGACTGCCGGCCAGTTCCGAATTCCTAGACCTCGACTTCTCTCTATACACAGCGACCTCCTTGGCCAGAGGTTTGCCATCTTTATAAGAGTCGTCCCGATGCCTGAAGCTTTTATGAATCTTATCCTCCCTCTTCAAAGTGGTCACCTTGTCCTCCTTGTATCTGTCCTGACTCTGCGTCAGCTTGTCCCTGTACCTCTGCGACTCCTTGCCGAGGTTCAGACTGCCCCCGCGGGTGTTTATCGGAGCGTTCTTGCTGGGCGAGTCCTTGGGGCTCTGGGGATGGGCGGCCACGTACTCCAGCACCTTCGCGTGGTTGCTGTTCGCGTCTCTGAAGTACCTATGACGCCAACTAGTTGGCTGGCATTCGGAATCGCTTAGTGCACCGTGGTCTTCGCGGCCTCGGTGCAGGAACCTCCTCGCCCGATTCATCTTCGTGCGGGTTGGCGTAGGCGTCGGTCCGCCCCCTTGCGAGCCGTCCGAGCAGTAACTCGACGAATCGTCGCCGAATGGACTGGGCGCGTTGGTTAAGGGCGAGGGTGGTAGATGATATGGAGAAGCTGGCAAGGTGACGGGTGAGCCAGGCACGTGCAGAGGCGACACGGGCAGGTCGCCGAACGAGACCGGCGCCGGCCCAGTTGGCGACACATCCACGCAGTTCAGCTCCTTCATCTTCTGCTGCATGGACATCACATCCAGGATCTGCGGGCCGCTGATCACGATCCCGTCCCGATTCTGATGTTTCCGTCGCCGGGACTTGAGCGACTCAACCCGCCTGAGGAAAGCCTTCGCCCCGTCTTTCAGCCTCTCGGAACCAGTTCTTCGAAATCGCGGACTGATCTCATCGGGAAGCGTCCCAGGCGGCAGGCTGCTGTACCTCAGCGTGTCCAGCATCGTGTCCTCGGCCTCCTCCGCTTCCAGACGATCCTCCAGCGAGTCCTCCTCGGACTGCACGTTCTGCCCGGCGATCGCCTGTAGCCTCTCAACGTTCGCCTGCGTCACGTCGCACACGCGCGACCAGCGCCTGGTCCGCTTCTCGAACGTCCAGTTCTCGCTCAGGGCGCACTGGGTATCTTCGTCCGAATCATCGCCACCACCCTGTAACGGTGAAACAAACGCCTGTTCAATAAAACGTTCGGCAAAAACCTGCGACGGATTTCTTCGACTCTGCCCTTAATTAAAACGAAAGTTACGAGCGGCCCGCGCGCCTCGTTTGCATAAATAACGAGCCATCGGTCATAAGTAAGCATTTCGTCGCCGGGATCACGTCGATAACGAACCCGCGGCGGCGCTCATTCGGGATCGATTAAAAATCACCGCGAGCTCGGTCTAGACCAATAAATTTCGGATTACGGGGAATGTTTTCGTCCCAACCGTTACGGAAACGAACGTTCACGGACGATCGCGACGGGCTAACGACGTGATTCAGGGGAACGTGACTCATGCCGCGGCGACGCGTCCGGCTCGTTGCAGAGAAACGCTTTCGTGGAGATTAACGACTCGCGGCGAGCGTTTAGCGGTCCTCAGTGGCACTAGTTGATAATCAATTTGAGTTTGATGTAGCGACAAATTAAGGACCACCGGCGACGGATGGTATGTATCGCACGTTGTAATTAATTGTAGAAAGTGTTCCGCGGTCGGCTCGCTTTTACCTAAGTACTCTCGTGATCGGCCGCGACACGTGTATTAGCTTATGAGCTAGATATTCCTGCCGTTATCCGTGAGAGGCAGAAAATTCGACAGCCGGTGTAAAGTAATTATTAATGATTTATTTGGATAATTAACGGCAAATAGTTGCGCACTTTCTACTTTCTGTTGTGCGCGCCAGGATACCACCGGAATCTTGTTCGACCCATTCTTCATTTTCGATCCGTCTGCTATTAATAATTACAATATCCTCAAAAATTGGAGATGTGATTTAACCATTTTTTTTTTACATATTTCATAAAAATTTGTAGAATTTTTTATGCGATTTATTATTAACACGACCAAATATCGATGCAAAATTCAATTCCTTTATACGGAATACTAAATTTAATCAATTAAATAAAAATATATGAATATATAAATACATGAATAATACATAGATAAAAATGTCTATTATATTTTCTCAGAGACCAATCCTTATCAATAGTTAATACTACCCTTATAAATACGTCGAAAAAAAGCCGACAGAATATACTATTCCAACACCATTTTTCCATTCCTTAAATCAGAGCCGCACTGTTGCTCGTCTACCCTGTTATCGTTTCGCATCTTGTTAGGAACGTCCACTCTCCTACGCGAGCGGATCGGATGTTTCAAAGAGAACGAGAAGAATCCGAAGATGACTAAACCGAAACAGTTCCAACGACGATCGCCGGGCAGGCCAGTTCGTTTTCTAACAATAAGGCCGAGCTTAGCTGTCGCTCGTTACGAAACTTGACGCCTTTGTTATTTCCACGTGGGGTACAACGGGGCTGCGAGCGAGTCAGGAGAGTGTGTGACCTTACGTGATCCCCAGCACATGACAATGGACCGGGTTTCACCTCGCATCGCTTCGCACGGTTTCCATCGGTGGCACCGCGGCAAGAACACTTCGCGCCTGCCGTCCAGGAAGCGAG